TTGTTGGGGGCAATATGCTGACTCTCTGTAAACCGCTTAGAGAGGGCTGAAAGCCCTATGAAGCGGTATATAAGTCTACTGCTATTGCTATACTAGATTGGCTTGCCGTTTCCGCAACGCTACCTGCCAGCGCTGCGAGCGAAAGGGGTACATCGCCAAGGTGTACCAGAGTGAATTCCCTGCTACTACCTGGCAGCCTAGAAGCACACCAAACCGGCAGCAGAGGCCCAACCAAGGGGCCTGGCAGAAGCCACCATGGCATTCAGAGGGCGACAATAGAGTCACCTAGGTGGCCAAAAAAGCTGAAGGTCACAGTCCTCATCAAGGACTCTCCATGTGCGATGGAGATCGACACCGGGTCATCACTGACCATCATTCCATGGTCTACCCTAAAGCAGGCTAGACCAGCTACACCCAAACTATTCTGCCGCATCGCCCCCTGACTCCACAAGCAAGATTCGGAACTTTAGCATAGGAGATTCAGTTTACGCCCACAACTATGCTGGGGGAACTCTGTGGATTCCTGCCACAGTGATAGGCATCACTCGCTTTTACCTCTTAGAGCTCGAGGATGGTCGAAATTGGAGAAGGCACATTGACCAACACTGTGGCTGCCTCTCCAACTCCACTCTTAGACAACCAGAAGTAACTCGTGCACGAGTTAGCCAAAGCCTTACCCAAACGGAACAAATGCTCGCTCCTTCAACAGCCAGCTCAAGCCCAAGAGTACCGGGAAACTTATCTGGTTATGTTGCAGGCCCGCAGCAAGCTCCGAGCGAACTGGCTCTAGAAGCTCCCGCCGTGGCCTGTGAAAGGTTCCAGGAGCTTCCACCAAGTGGAGCTGCAGAGCAAACAGGTCTGTCCGAAATGTCCAAGGAACACCCTCCAACTGAACTGCCCAAGTCTGGCAGAACTACCCAAAAGCCCGCCTACCTGCGTGACTACGTAATGAGTAGGATTATTCCATCCAAGAGGGGAGGGGTATTAGATACTTGCTTTAACTACAGTGGTTTCCACCAAGGTCCTCTGTTCCGGCAGGAACAGAGATTTAATCCTATTGGTTGAAGGGTCTGACAGCTCCCTATAAAACAATCGCTGGATTGTTCTCACTTGTTGTACTTAATAAAGAGCTGTTGTAACCGTTAAGCCTGTGTGTGCCTATCCATTACCCGATCCAACATTAACCCTACAATACAATACAGAACTTTTAAAACTAAGATTCAACTATGAGGTTTTAGTTGTTTATTATTTTGTTTATTTTAATGTATTTGTTCAGTACATTTCTACACTGTCCATCTCACCTAAGTGACTCTGGACAGTTTATACATCTCATTTATTCATAATAGTTTTAGTTTTAACTTAACTTCTGTTTAAAATCAGTCCTTGAGGCTAGTAAACTACTACATATGACCAAGTATAGTGTAAACCTAATGTTAATTTATTCAGCCAATGATAAACTGATACAGTCTGTGAATAAAATGCTTTAAAACAGTTTCAAAAATATGACATCAGAATTAATCAATACAAATCTGACAAATCAGCAGTTTATCATATTCTGGGGAAACAAATTATCCTTGAATTATATTTTGTGATATCCATATATTTTAAATTTTAATATACATTTATATATTTATGATCTGATTATTATAAAATAGAGGTTAGTATTTTCGGTTAATAATGTGCTTGTAAGTTGAGAATTACCTGTACATGTTAAAGAAATGTGGCATCCTAACGCCACGGAGAACGTAAAGCTATTTTTAAGAGAAATTAAAACTGCATGTTTTAATTTGGAATGCCTTTCTCTTAGCTAGATCTCTTCTCAAATAACTTTGCTATTTGCCACAATCTATGGCATCAGGAATTAAAAAGAAATGATAGGTGTAAATGTAGATTGAACTACTTGGATTACTATGAGGAGGCTCTCGTGTGAAACTGCTGAGAATTGGCAGTGGTTAAATCAGGAGTTGCAGTAAATAAGCCTGATAATATAAAAATAGCCATTTATATTTAGAATATTACAGAAGCAGAACATTGGAGCTGTCTGATGAGGAGAGAGTTAATTGTGCGCAGTGGTATAGCAATAGCGATAGCATTTAGACTTATATACCATTCTTATAGTGCTTTACAGCACTCTGGCCAGTTTACAGGGTCAGCATTTTGGGTCCTCATTTTACTTGGAAGGATGGAAGGCTGAGTCAACTACAAGCCATTCAGAATCGAACTCCTGGCAGTGGGCTGAGTTAGCCTGCGATACTGCATTCTAACTACTGCACCACCACAGCTCCTGGTATCATTTGAAGTTTTTTTTAAAAAAGTCTATAAATCTCCCTAAGCATTTAAGAACCAAAAAGACCTCCAATAAATGCCCCAATTTCACTTTCAGTTCAGCTCATTCATCTTGAAATTCAGCTTTTACACCCACTTCTATTGCAAAACATATTTTGGTTTAGTTCCAAAAGTAATGCGATGACACAGTATTAGTTAACTCTTCAAAAATCATTCATAAAATTTCTAAAGGAGGCGCTAGCGTCGCGACGACACTGCGTGCAGTCTTGGAGCTCCAGGATCGCAGTTGATACTTTTGTCGCTGGATGGTCCTTTTGGACCTAAACCGTCCTGCAGAGACAGTGAAAGGGAAGAGTACCTCCTGCTGATCTCAGGGACTTTGCAAAGTCCCTGATTGATCCAGGAGAACCTCTTCTTGCTGGCGATAGAAGTGCAGCCACTGAAGCTGCTGAAGTTGGGACAGCTCCAGAATGGGAGGAAAGCAGAAAAAGAAAGTGTGCCGTTTGGTGAGGAAATGTTATTATTAGACAAGAGACTACCCCAAAAAATCAAAGTTAAATTAAATTTGAAAACAGAAGAAAGTAAGCGGCAAAATTAAGCTACGTTAGACAGTGTGTTATCCTTGTTTTTTTAAATCTTTTTTCATGGATGGAACTTTTGCAAACATTTCCTATTTTTTAAACAGAATGGATTAGTTTTTCTTCTGCTACTTTTTATTTCTTTTTATATACCAATGGATTAAGAATTTTTTCCTTATTTTTACAATGCTGGACTGGATGGTTTTTTTCTCCTTTAAGAAGTTTTTCTCTCTCTGTAAGTTTGGATTATAAAGAAGATATTAAACAGAATACAAAGAGGTCTGTAACAATAGAAGGAAAGGAAGTAACACTGCCACTTGGAGACTGGAGGCTGGAAATATTATTATTTTCTTCCCTTTGATCATTTGTTTTACACTTCAAGGTCTCTCAGCTTGTTTACTGTGAGTGATAGTGGGAAGAGCATGGGTTGTTTATACATGTGCTCTTCGGGAGCTCTTTCAATAGATGGAGTGGAGAGAAGAGAGACCTTGACTTTGAAAGATTATAAATAAACTCGCTTCAAATCTAACAAAAAGCTTCAAATGTTATAGTGGCAGTGTTTACAAATTGGAAAATTGCACAACAAGAAAAAGAAACCTTAACATTGCAAATGATTATGTTTGGAATTCAAAAGATCTTAGCAGTAACAGAAAAAATTGAGAAGAGATTGGAGAATATAGAACGCAGCACAGTAAAATTTGATGGAAAAATTGAGGATGTTTATAAAATGAAAAAAGTGGAGGATAGAGTTCTAAAAATTGAAGGAAAAAACAAAGAAACAAGAAAACTGTTGATATTGAACTGAGCCTGGCTGGAAATAAAAAGAGTGGAATATGGAAAGGGGAGATAGATGGACTGGAACTCTATCCCAGACTTCAAAGTACAGAAAAAGAAAATAGAGAAAAATTGATGGAAGTAAGGAGAGAAATTTTACCAGAAGCATGAGTGATAACTAAAGATAAGCTGATTGAAGAAGCAAATGGAGGGTTTCAAGTTTACATAAGAATTGAAATGAACAATAACTTGCGGAGAGAAGTCTATATAAGACTTACCAAGAAATTAATAAGAATGCTAATGTTACAAATGGCAAGAGATATAAGGCTGCACTATTAGTGGAAAAACACAGGTTGATGTAATGAAAGCTGATAATAAAAATTAAGTAAAATTTAGTTAAATTTAAAGTATTATGTCTAAAATGAAGTGATAATGGTCATAGTTAAATAAATGATTGATAACGATAATATGATAATAATGCATATATATGTATTGGTGTGTTAAGAAGAAATTCTATATAAATTGCAAATGGGGACTATGAAAGGAAGTTTAGAAATTAAACATAATCAATTTTTTTATTTAGAACATGTTATAAAGATGCAATTTTATTGTAGGATGTTGGGAGGAATTAATGGAATGCCATTATGTGGTTTTGCTTTAAATTGAAATATTCCATATAAGAGGATGTAAAAACAATTACAGTCAAATGAAGGCTGAGGTATGATTAAAGTAATGTATATAAATATTGCATACTTGATTTAAAAATATGTGATTCGATATGAATTATAGGTGACGACTGTGGAAAGGAAAGGACGCACTGAAATTTTTGTAACCAACTGTCACACTTTCTACAACTTGTAATGGAAGATGGTTTTGTGTTTTTGTTTTTGTCTGTGATCGTTTACAAAAAAAAAATTCTTCAAAAAAAATCATTCATAAAATTTCTCTTTTTCTTCTCAGTCTTAGCCTGATTTTCCCCATTGTCCATCTTATCCTTGCTGAAAGCTGTTCTGCATATAATATGCTACTTACTTTTCAGAAATAAAAATGGAATATTGTTGGCTCATACTAATAATATATAGTGCTGTTTGAAAAGTTAAAAAGCATCCTGCTTGACCCAATTTGTTATGCATCTACTTCCAAAGTAATCAGTGATTACTGCAGATTTGTTTTCTGTTCTATAGGCTTTGCATATGTCAGTAAAAAGAGAAAAATAGCGGTGTACTTTGATGGATGTCTATTTAGGAATCATATCAAATTGTCAGGCTCTTTCTCAAGAATAAGTAGATGCAGAATTGCATCCTAAAATATATAGTTTCTTCAGAATAATTATGCTAAATAAAATCACATTTTATCCTATTGTATGAAATGGAGAGAGAATGTTCATATTTTAAATTCTTTTGAACAGTCAGTGAACAAAGCATTCTGTAATCAATTCTAGCATACAAACAATGATTTCCATGTATATCTGTTTCCTAAATGTAAATAAAACAAGATTTGACTTGACCTGGGAACCGAAAATCTGCATACACCATTTAAAGGACACTATTACTCAGGGATATAGTTTGTTGTTTACATTTCTGTTCCCTGAAGCCTTCTCCTATTTTAAAATAATATCTTTGTTAAATTTCAAAAAACAAACATTAAAATACAAAGTAGCATAAAGGGAAAAAGAGAAAGGGAATAACAGAACAAGTTAAAAAGTGACAAAAACTGGTTTGCAACCGGTCCTCAGTTTTACAACCTTTGAAGATCTGTAAAGCAAAGGAAAGCTGAAGTAGAATCATAAAATCGTGATGTTCCACTTAGCATGTGCTTACTTAATGACTAAGTTGCCACTCTCAATTGTGGTCGCTAAAGGAAAACTATCTGCACTGACCAACATGTGCCAAAAACTGTCCAATACAATTATTGGCAGTGAAAGTTGCATGTTGTACAGATATAGCAAAAGCTGGTAACCTAGTTGACACCTTCTCCATCTTACTAAAAAGCAATATGTGAAGATCTCACTTAACCAAAGACATGACAGACAGTTGAGATCAACACCTGTGGAAATACCTAGTTATGACCATAGCATATGGAAGATTGCAATTTGGAATACAGGAGAAATAAGTGATAAAAAGCACAAAATAAGAATAGAACAGAACAGAATAGAATACTTGAATATTTTTTGTGGTCAAGTGTGATGAGACACACAAGAAACATGTCTCTCATACAGAAGCATTCAACATACAGCAAAGCAACAGAATACTAATACAAGGGATAGTAAAGAAGATAATAAGAAGGATAAATAACAATACCACAGTC